AAGGAGTTTAGACCTTAGACCCTAACCCTATAACCCCCTTTAAGGAGTTTAGAAACAAAACAATCCCAAAAACCTAAAACTTCAGGCACCGTAACCCTCTTTTAGGAATTTAGACTACAGCTCATGTCAGGACCTCAACTTCTGGGATTGAGGGAATGGATCAGAGTTTAAGGATTTAGGGTTTAGGGATTTAGGGTTTAGGGTTTTAGAGATTTAGTGATTTAGGGTTTAGGGATTTAGGGTTTAGGGTTTAGGGTTTAGGATTTAGGGTTTAGGATTTAGAGTTTCGAGTCTAGTGTTTAAGGTTAAGGGGTTACAGCAATCCCTGGGTCTATACAACTCCCTTTCATTACCGTTCTAGACCCCATTCTCCCATTCCCCACCACGCACAAAGAAGTTTACTCACATACTAGAAGTCATAGGAGCCTATAACATCCAAAGCCCCAAGCCCTCAGTCCTTCACCCTAAACTGCCCCCCCCCAGCCTACCATCCCACATCCCAAAAAGAAGGCCTAAATAATCTGTAGATTGAACTTCGATCGGACCTTCGTTGGACTTCATTCAAGGCTGGGGGGGCACTCGGCTGGTGGTAAGATAGGATCCTATGAATTTGGACAGGTCTACTTCCCTAACCAACCCAAAGTCAGGTGGAACTCCATATAGCCACACTTTTTCACCAAGAACATCAAGCCCTGAACCCTAAACCCTATAAACCCCATAAACCCTATAAACCCTATAAAGCCTAAACCCCATCAGTCTATGAATGAAGGACCGCTTTGGGGGTGCCATCCTGGTCTGTGGGAGAGTTATCCTCAGAAGCGCGCCCTTGTTGCAAACACAGGGATCCTAACTACAATATTGGTTAGGGCTTAGGGGCTTAGGGTTTAAGGTTCAGGGTTGTTGGGCTTAAGGTTTATAACCCAAAGAATCCTGTGTATCTAAGTAAAGAGTAGATCTACTATACTGGGAATTCCTAAAATGGTTTGGGATGGTTTGGGTGATTATCGCCTATATAGGTACTTAGGACCCTTTGGGAAAGCTTTCGCCTCATGATGTCGGTGCCCGTGCTGTTGGCCACGTGCTGTGCACAGAGGAAATATCCTCAGCAACAGGATCCCCGAAAGGGTCCAATGTAGCTATGTGGTATTTACTTGGGCCCTGAGGTACTTATATGGGATCCCTTTGGGCCTTAAGTATATACATTCTGTCTAGCTACATGGACGCTTTGGATCCAGGAGCAGGGGGATGAACACTTGACGGGAGATCTCCCAACTATTCGATTCCCTCACTACCCTGAACCTTAAACCCTAAACCACCTGCAAGACTAATCCTGAAGCTTAAGCTGCAACACGAAACACCTCCAAAACCCTAAAACTTCAGGCCCCAGACCGGAAACTCAGACCCAAAACCACAAAACCGCATCCTTCAACCCAAGAAATAAACCCTGAACACTAGACTTTGAACTTCTAGGACTTTAAACCCTACCTAAACCCTAAGCCCAAGCCGAACCCTAGAAACCAAAATCCTAAACAGCAAGCCAAAACTACATGTGGGCACCCGTGAAACAAAAACCTGGTTCTATATTGTTGCACTGGCATCTGCGAACACCCTTATTCCCAAACGTTCCACGTAGCTATGTATAGTTTTTACCTAGGGCCCACAGAAATTCCCGTAGAACTTACTGTATATCCTAAACCCTAAACCCTGAATCCTAAGCCCTAGAAACCCTATACAGCAGTTTCCATTTTAATTTTCCATTATCCCAATCTAACCCAATATAACCCTAAACCCTAAGCCCTAAATCCCTAATCCCCAAACCCTAAACCATTTAGCTACATAGACCCCTTGGGATTGTTATGTGATCAGAGCCTGGCCGTAGAAGGGGTTGTGGAGGTTCAGGCTGCTAAGGTACTTCAGGTTTAGGGTTTTAGGGTTTAGGATTTAGGTTGATTTATAGGACTTAGGGTTTAGGGATTACTCCCTGAAACATTGGCAAGCAAAGTACAACCTCAGTTTGTGTGCATCAATACTCCAGAAAATTGCCAACCAACCTTATGAAGCTCTACGCGTTTTAGGGTTTAGGGTTCCTTCAGCTTTTGGAACCCCCTAAGGGCATTTAGGGTTTAGGAATTAGGGCTCTTTTAGCTTTTGGAACCCCGTACCCGAAATCCATACGTGGGTGGTTGTCAAAATTATGGTCACTTCTTGGATCCCGGTTATAATACGGCACCTACTATTTAGGGTACGTACCCGAAAAGGGGCCATAATTTTGACAACTACCCCACATGAAATCGTAAGACTGACGTTCACTTGTGTCTGAAGTACAACCCTAAGAATCCAAGGACCCAAATAATAGGGTTTTGGGGCCCAAATACCGTTAATATTATAGTATTGGGGCCCTAANNGGGTCCCTGGACCCTTAGGGCAAAGTTTTAAGAAGCCCCCCATGAGCAAGACAGCGGCGTGTCATGGGGCAGCCGGGCTCTTCCAATACGCATTCATACTGGCCATCATGTCCTGCAGCTGATGTGGCAGCTGCTGGATAAGGGTTTAGGGTTTAGG